TCTTTACAGTAAGTCGCTACCATAAGAAATGAATGATTTTTTCATGATCAGCGTACCAGATAACCCTCCTGGGCGAAGTTTTAGACAGATTCACGACACTGACCTGCTACCGTGTGCCTACCGTATATCCCAGATGTTACTGTAGTGTGATATACTGGAAGATTCCTCTCAACGAGCTGAGTCTAATGCCGCTTTCCTCTTTATAAAATTTCTGTTTTGAAAGAAGTTATGACGATGCGACGCTTTGCGACGGATTATCCCGTCGCGACGAACTTTTATGTGAAATCACGTTTTTTTGCAGAAGTTATGAGCGGTATTGTATAACAGAAGGCACCTGATTTTGGGTGACTTTTTTTGATTTTTTTTCAAACATTATTCCCCCGCATCTTTAATATTCCTTTGACCAAGAGTGTTTATAGCATGAAAGCTTCCTTACTCTAAATCACATCATTGTCAATCTCGCTCATTCAAATTTGTTTTATTCATTGGGCTAAGAACTAAAATATAACGTCGATTAAAAACAGCATTCGGTACCAAAATTTCTTTATGAATATCAAATTTCATGTGAAAGCAATTATATTCGAAATGAAAGCGGGAAGTTAATCAAGATGCACTGGTCATCGCCTAGGACCTTCTCCCATTATTCAAAACATTTTTCGAACCATTACACCAGATTCGCGAGTTCGCGAGACCCCTTGCAAGAAAGCTTATTAGCTATTTCTCGAGAGACTAGTACACTAGCAAAGGATTTACACCTTGCTTGGTTAAAATATACAAAGATGATAGTCCTAAAAGCAGACTGGAGAATATAAAGGCAGTTAAACCGCATTCAAATGGTTACTGCAAAGATAAGCTACCGGTATTTGAAGTGACTTGGAGATCAGAAAATTTATCAAACTATTCTTTTGCAGTAATTAACATTATATACTATCTCTTCATAAGTGGAACAAAGTAAGTCGATCGTATTTCAGGCTACGTGAATTTGCAAACTTCAGCCTCAGAATGCTGTTTAATGTCGGCCTGATATTCTATTTATTTCTCTGTCCAGAAGTCAAATCAGAATGAATAGTTTTAGAAAAAAGGTTAAGGCTTTTTTGAAAAGTAGGAGTTAAGTTGAAATTCAAGAAGGGCATGGAGATAAGGATCTGAAAAAGATAAGGGAAAATTGTTTGACAACTCAACGTCATAGAGTAAATGTAGAACTTGACTGCTGGAACACTGCAATATTTATTCAGATTCACTGGTTACGGGTAACGATAGAAGTCTCTCAGCAGCGACCCGTAAATAAATCGAGTCAGAGATCTTAGAACGAGAGGAGTCATGCGGTTCATCTAGTGATATTCGCATCATGCTTGATCAGGAAGGGAGATCTGGGTTATTTGATTCGGGTGCATTTGCGCAATATATACTGTTCCTTCATCAGAGATCGCTAATGAGTGGGGATTTTCAATTCCCTAAATCAGTTTTTAGATGATCAGCACCAACTTGAAACAGTTTTTACCTTGACAAAGGTGTTTGCTTTTCCATTAGTCATATCCATGACGAAAAGTTGTGGCGGGATCTGATCTTCTTCGTCGCGACCGGTAACTCCCACGAGGTAGTGCTCTGCAATGTTCTTATACTTC